ATATAAAATAAACATTTTAAATATATATACTTCAATAGGTATCTATTAGGTATCTATAATAATGTTATGATAGCGGAGAGTATATTTTATAAATCGCACAGTTCATATTTTGCAACAGTTTTGATTTGAAGAAAAAAAAATGGACCAAACATTATATCTTTTCAATATAATATAGTTTTAAAATATTTTAAACGGTTTCCAAGTCACAAGATGTATTAAACGGGTTATATCTGTGTTTGGACGTGCCATTATTAATTTTTGAGTCAATATACTGACTTAATGTAGAATGATGTGAATATAGGTTCGTGCCTCGTGGTATAATTAGGTGTGTACCTAATGACTAATGGCATACAATCAATTTTAATGTTTTGAAAATTTCATTGCATGTCACATAATGAATATAAAGTTATGAAATAATAAACGAAAAAGTTTAAAATCATCGAGTAAAATATTTTTGAATAATTATACAGAAAATTAATTAACACTGCCATTCACTTTTTCTTCGTTAAAATATCCAATTTCGTCTAAACATGGACTTTATATAACTAAAAAAATTTGTAACTATATATTTTTAATGTGTGTATACAGAAATATATTATTTAATCATGCTACATTCCCATATATACAAAATGTTAATTTAAACATTTGGTGAAGATTTCAAGTAGGTAGGTATAGGTATGTAAATAATTAGTAAACGAATATTCGGTTTTCACGTTTTTTAATCACATAAAAAAAAATTGTTTAATGATAAAATATATTATTATTTAGCGTTACCATCATGTGTAGAATATCCAATTTGATCAAAATTCTAACTTCAAACCTCAAAAAAAATTTTTTTGGATTCACGCTCAACATTTATTTCGAAGAATAACTTATGAGGAATTTTGTATCACGTTTTCAAGAATTTTTATACAGAAMAATTTTCTACTGGTATTTTTATACAAAAAAAAATTAAGTTTCCCACGTCTAAAATAAGTTATGAATATTTTGAAAATTATACCTACCGTACATAATACACTTTGTTAGAAATTTCAAGTATCTACGATTATTATTTGTTGATTTTGAATTACTATTTACAAAAAAACAAAAAAATCTATTTTGTCAAAAACTGGTTTTACGTAAAAATTCTTTTTATTGTAAACAGATTGAATATATTTAAATAAAAACGTAAAAATTCTCTAATTTTCATGAAAACTACCTACTGGGAAGTCTGGGAATTTATTTTTGATTTTGATMTCTTATAAAAGTACCAATTAGCTTGCTTTTCCCACTAAAAAGATTTTGATATTGAAAATTAAAGCAGTTTGCTTTATTCTATTATAGGTATAAGTATATAT